AGGACAACGTTGTTGTGACAGGATTCTCCAAGAAACCTGGAAAATCGGATGTGCTCCTTATAAAGCTACTCCAACCAGATCACCACCTGTAAGACGAAAATTTTTTCGTTGGAAACAGTGGAAAGCTGGCAAGCGCTCAATTCGCGCTTCCAAGAAGTATGTCACACAAGCTCCTTCTCCTCCCCCAAAAACCAAAAAAGGTAAGAAGAAAAAAGGAACCAAAAAATCCTCTAAGGCTTCTAAATCCATTGAAACAAAAAAGGATTGTAAATGTTATATTTGCAATGAAGTTGGTCATTATGCTACTAATTGCCCACAAAAAGGCAAGAAAGCATCCAAAATGATTAAACATCTACAAACAGATAACCTCTGTGTTGTTTATGGTCATGACATCACCGACCCCAATACCATTTTGTATGAACTCTCAAGCAGCGTTTATACCAGTAGCTCTTCGACCAGTGATACCGACGACGAAACAGATATTGACACTATCTGTATGATGAACCTTACTCCTTCCACACCTGATGAAAGCACTAACACAAAGCTTAGCGACATCATTGGAGAAGAAGTTCAGTTCACAAACGAACAATTGATTCAGTTTGATAAACTTCAACAAATCAAAAAAGAAGAAGTTTACAAGACTTCTCGATTTGCCATTTTTTCCAAACGAATTTTAGAACAATTCAGTGGAAATACGACCATTGACTATACCTCACATGGACGTTGCGGATTCAATATCCTTAACAAGGAAAAAATTAAACGATAGAAACAGCAAAACCCTCTTACCTGATATATCCATATTGGATTAGTTCAAATCAAAATAACTTCCCTATTTCGACGCGGTACTGATCAACCTCTTATTGCTCTTATCATGGACAATCGTTTTCATAAACCCGTCGATGCTCTTATCGGAGGTGTTCAATCCAATCTGGTCAATAATCTTATGTGGTTTAAAATCAAACCAAATTATTTCGTTTCACTTTCCGATCCAAACATCGAGAAAGTTCTTCAAGTCAGACTTCAGTTGTCAAAACTACAAATGGATTATGACTCCCCTAGTCTTGGCATCCAATGTAAAGTTCTTTATGAACTCACTCGAGAACCCGAAACTGCTACTGTTCCTACAATTGACTCTAAACTAGTCACTTTGTTTGAACCAAGGCCATTTGACACAATAATTGAGCCTAAACTCCTCAATTGGACAGATCTTGAGATTCCCAAAACTTGGTTATTTGATAACATCAATTCTGAACCCAAGTTACGAATTACAGAACCAACTGTTGCCACGATTCATGCCTCAGGATCAAATCTCTATGTTACTAATAAAGCGAAACCACCTCAGCTACACCGATCAAGTTCAGCCAGAAATCCTGGATGGGAACGGATCCTTCCTCCACGATCTTCAGTCGATGAACCGCCTCGACGAAGATTTACCTGGACAGAAAAAGGAAAAGCTCCTGTTAATCCTAACGGCAATGCTCCCTTTTTGCCTGGTTCAAATCATTCAATAAATTCAGCAAAATTTTTCCATTTTCGCACAGGAAATGATGAAATTTTAATTGCTCATTCTCAAGGGAAAAAGCGCAAGTATACTTATGTCAACGGTATCTTCAACTTCAAAGGATATAAACCATATAGCCTTTGTGTTTTAATTGATACTGGCGCAACCACCAGTTGCTGTCGTTATAATGCCATACCAGCAGAAAAATGGCAGCAAATGAAACACCCCATTGGTGTCCAAGGCATTGATGCTAAAGCTCCCATGAATGTGATTCAGTTTAAAGCAAAAGACGTTGCTATCTGGCTTAATGATAAAAAGTTCATTATCCCAAAAATTCTTTGCTTCCCATACATGCATGGTGACTTTATTTTAGGATGTAACTTTATCTATAGTTACCTTCCTTTGCAGTTAAAAGAAAAAACCATTTCTTTAACCCTAAAAGACCAGACAGTTGTTGAAATCCAAATTCAAGAGAATTTAGCCTCTGTTTGTAATGAAAAGTTCTCTCCACCCAAAAGAGATACAGACTTATTAGTCCTCGCCGATACCCATTGGTTATATGCTTCTCTACGCCAAAATTTTTCTGATAATCCACTTACCTTGTGGAAAAGAAGTCCTCGTTTTTGCAGTCTAAAACTCAAAGATGAGAATGTCATTATTCGTGTTAAACCAATGATTTATCTGCGAAAAAACATTGATGAATTTGACTCACAACTTCAAGAACTCCTTGAGAAAAAACTCATCGAACGCACACGCAGTCCACATAGCAGCCCCGCATTTATGGTTAGAAACCATAGTGAAATCAAACGTGGTAAAGCCCGCATGGTCATCAACTATAAAAGGCTTAATGAACATTTAGTATTTGATGGTTATTTTATCCCACGCAAAGACGTTCTGATTAATCAAACTCGTGGCGCTAAAATCTTTAGTAAGTTTGATTGTAAAGCAGGCTTTTTGCAAATAAAACTGCGGAAGAAGTCAAAGCCCCTTACTGCGTTTAGTACCCCTCGCGGACACTATCAATGGACCGTTATGCCTTTCGGTCTGAACACAGCACCACAAATCTATCAACGATGGATGGATTCTATCTTTAATGATCTTAAAGATTTTGTTATTGTTTACATAGATGATATTTTAGTTTTCTCTAAAACCAGAGACGAACATAAAAAATATCTTCTTTGTCTTTCAGAAAAACTCAAGACTTACGGAATCATCTTATCTCCAACCAAGATAGATGTTGAAAAAGAATCTATTGATTTTCTGGGCCTAGTTTTAACCCACAAAGGTATAAAACTACAGGATCATATAATTATTAAGATCCGTGATTTTCCTGACATTATTCAAGATAAAAAGCAGCTTCAAAGTTTCTTGGGAATCTTGAATTATGGACGCACTTTTATTAAAGGGTTATCACAAAAGGAACTTCCTTTAATAAAGAAGCTACAGAAAAATGTCGCTTTTGACTGGACTGATAGTGATACCACCATTATCAAACAAATCAAAGCTGATTTAGTTCATATCCCTGAAGTCTATTTTCCTCAAACAGGAAATAAACTTATTCTTGAAACAGATGCCTCCGAGCTCTGTTGGGGATGTGTTTTAAAAGCCATCCCAAAAGAAAAATGGTGTGACGACACTCCGTCATATCCGATGATCCGAGCCCGTAAAGCTCCAATCACCAAACTTCTTCAAAAAGAAGAGTTAATTTGTGGATACAATTCTGGGAAATTTAAACCCAATGAACATAATTACATCATTTATGAAAAAGAACTTCTGGCAATAAAATTAGCAATCAAGCGATTTCATATCTACTTAGCACCTGAAGATTTTATTATTCGTACTGATAACCAAGCAGTAAAAGATTTTTTAATCAACAAAAAGAATTGCTTAGATGGAAGACGCTTAAAATGGTTTAATGTTATTGCTCAATATTCTTTTGCTATTGAACATATCAAAGGAACTAACAACTTTCTTGCAGATTTCTTAAGCAGACCTTCAGAAGTATCTAACACAGATATTTCTCTTCCTATGCACACAGATGGATGAACATATTACTCCACTAAAGGATAAAGATGGTTGGATCACTGTTGCTAAAAAAGCAATATCTAAACCAACTCCATCACAACCACAAAAATGGTTCGTGGTTTTTGCAGGTCACCTGCCTGGCATCTATGAAACCTGGAATGACTGTCACAAACAACTCCGTTCATTTAATGGTTCTTGCTTTAAAGCTTATGACACGCTTATAGAAGCCCAAACCGTTTTCTATAATGTGGGACAAGCTTCTCAAAAAATGTTTTCCAAAAATACGGATATTGCAGAAATTAACAATTTCTATGATCCTGGTCTTCCAAACTATCTTTATGATGAAGTTAATAATGTTTGGAAAACACATAAAATCAGTGCAAATAAGAAATTCAGACAACATTTGAGTTCTCTTACCGCCCTCATAGCTGAACAATCAGCCATGACGGAGGAGCTTAAAAAGCTTTGCATCCAGATCTGTCTTACTATTGACTGGGAAAAAGATTTTTCTCTCTCACAAATAAATTGTTTTCTGAAACTCGCCCAGTTGGAGACTTTCATGCCAGTAGGTACCACTATGTGGGAAAAAATGGAAGTCGATTTGATTCATTTGATTGATTTGATTCATTTGATCTAGCCTTTATTCAATTCAGTGTTTGGTATAAGTAGGGTTACAAGTTGGACACGCCCAACCCAGCCCGGTCTCAACCCAATCTCAACCCAAAGTTGAGTTTGGGACGGGCTATGTATATACACCAAAGCATAACACAAAAATAGGTTGATTGTTGGAAAAAGACACGATATCTATTTAGAGCATGCAAACACAATCTAATTTAGATTATAAATTCTCTAATTTAGATAAAAAAAAATAATAATAATAACTTTTTATAAAAAATCTAAGTTTATATAAGTTGTAGGTTCCATTTGGTTGTCATGCTCTTTAAAAATTGGCCTAGGTTAATAATTAAGGAAATAAAAGAAAATGAAATGATACTAATCATATTTAAGAAAAAGAAAGAAAATGATGGGTGAAAATTACCTCTAATGAAATAATGTGCTATTTACTCTATTTTGAAATGAGTGGTCCAAAAATGGTCAGGTCACCCATGTTTGGGATGCATAACAGGAACACCTTACGAAAATGTTGGGATATACTTTTACTTTAAAAAATAGAGGAAATAGACTACTGTGTGCTTGGAGGTAATCCTTGTCCAGAAAATTATACTCTTATTATCATAATCCTTCTCATTGATATTGTCTTTTATAAAAATTAGGACAAATTTAAAATAATTATCCTAGCATTTTCTTCCCTTTCTTTTCATTACTCATCAAAATCCCTCCGGATCTTTCTATTTCCTTTCTTTTCTTTTTTAAATTTTAAACCAAACACTAAATAAAATAATAATAATAATCACACCCCTCAATTTTATTTTTTTGATTTGTTTTCAAGCAAACAAGTGTTATTACAGTAAAACTAGCGAAGAGGTTTCCTCTCTCTACCTAAAATAACTTGTTTTGATTATTCATGAAACCCTTTTGATTATTCATGAAACCCCTCTCTACCGAAACAAGAATTGCCAAAATTTCATATTTCTTCCAAATTTTCGGGCGTTCCTCCAGTTGCGACTTTCACTCACCCACTGTGTGTGAGCGTTGTGTGTGAGTTCCACACCACACTACTCCCACTCACGTTCTGTGTGAGCTTTCTCCTCTTTAGTATATGACAATCTAATCAACATAAACTAATTTCTTCATTGTTCATCAAACCCAATGGTTCATCTCAATAATTGGCTCCAACCCTGGAAAGTTTGCTGCTGCAATGGATCAAGGTATTTATATTTAATTTATGTATTACATATATGTGAAAATCAGGAAGTTCTAGTTACATGGATTGAGGTATTTATCTTTAATTTATACATTATAAATATGTGAAAATCGTAAAATTCTAGTTCTTGAAATAATGATTTTGTGCTAAACGCATCACCATAAATATTAATTTACAATTGATGCCTATTGTTCGTTTCAAGTCATTGGTCTTTGGCATAGTTAGTAAGAATACAACATACAATTTAAAGGTTTCTGTGAGTTTAGGAGTTAGTTCTATCTAGTGATCATGCTCCTATGTTAGTGAAATTTGTGTGTTTTGATATCTAAGCAAAACTCACTAAAAAAATTCACTTCGGATACGGCCAAGCTGGTTACACGCTGGACTTTGGAGCTTAGCAAGCCCAAGATATGGGGTTTAAGTCCTTTTGGGTGTTCTTTGTGGCTAGCTTCCGTTGCTCCTGTAGTGACTTACCTGGGTGGGGAGGCGCCCTTCCGGGTCCTCGGAGATTAGTCGGGTTGTTAAGGGGCCTAAGGGTTCGTGCCATTTCGGACACCCTGAGTTAATAATAAAAAAAATTAAAAAAAAAAAAAACTCACTAAAAAATATATAATATAAAATAGTCAGGAAAAGTTCTGTTCGTTTTTGGAAGGTGAATCTCATATCAAGCTACCGAAACCTTGTGGCAAGATTGGAATGCAATGAGATAGGTTCTTGTTAAATTCAAAATTGACTTTTTTTTTTTTTTTTTTTTTTTTTTTTTTTTTTTCATGGAAAGATCAGTAACTTGAAACAATAATGAAATCAACCAGTCACAAATTCATATGAATTTACACTCTCTGATATTTTTTGTATTTTTTTATTTTAATGTACATTGAATCAATACTCATTAAGCGCAAAGCCAAGCAAAGCACAAGGACAAGTTCGAATATATGGCGGCTCAAAATATGTCGTAAGAATCTTATATGAGTTCCAATATTTGAGTTAATTCAGGATAACAAGATAACATTAAACCAATATTTTGAATCTTTTCAAACCAAGGTTTATTTAGAACAGTCAACACCTAAGAAGCACGGACACGGATACGACACGACACGGACACGGCGACACGGCAAATCCAAAAAAATTAGGACACGGACACGGCGAATAGTATATATATATATATATCAGCATTAATAATTTTTTTTAAAAAAACACTGATATGTTTAGGTTGGAATATATATATATATATCACTGATATGTTAGTATATATATATATCAGCATCTTTAGGACACGGACACGGCGAATTGTGGCATCTTTAGGTTAGTATATATATATATCAGCATCTTTAGGGTAGTACAAAACAAAAAATAGAACATATCAGCATTAAAAAATTTAAAAAAAAAAAAAAAAATTTAACATATCAGCATTAAAAATTATAAAAAAAAAAAAAAAAAATTCCAGAAAAGTGTGTCCGAGCCGTGTCCGAGCTATCTGAGCCGTGTCCGAGCTGTTTGAGCCGTGTCCGAGCCGTGTCCGAAAAATAAAAAAAATAAAAAAATTCCAGACACGTTTTTTGGCGTGTCCGTGCTTCCTAGGTCAACACATTCCACGTTCAGCTCAATCTGTAATACATGAAGTAGTAGTAGAAAGGACATTTATATATGTCCACCGTATGTGTCATTGGTCGTTAAAATTATGTATAAGAGTCCAAAACCTCCATAAGTTATTGTAATTATTTGGACGGCCAATTTTAATTGGAAGAAAGAGCGGACAATACAAGCCTATGTGCTGGATTTTGGCATTTCTTTTGGCAGATGTATTAATTCTCTCTTCTAAGGATCTGCCTTCACAACTACTCTCACTTTCTCTCTATATTCACAGTTGCTCTTTATCTCATTCTACTCTGCAAAAGAAAAGAAGATGGCTGAAGCTTTGGTGGGTGGAGCATTTCTCTTGGCTTCCATTCAAATGCTGTTTGATCGAATGGCTTCTCGTGAGTTCATAAGCTTCTTTTCCAAACGAAAATTTGATGATGGACTCGTACACAAGCTGAAGTTAACCTTGTTGGCCATTCAAGCAGTGCTTGATGATGCGGAGGACAAGCAAATAACCAACAAGAACGTGAAAGATTGGCTTGACGAGCTCCAGCACGTTGTGTACCAAGCTGAGGACTTGCTGGAGGAGATCGCTACCAAGGCCTTGGGGAAGAAGTTGGAAGCTGATCATGTTCAGTCCCAAACCCAAGGCAGCACAGCTCAGGTTGGTTTCAGTCGATTTTTTCATCCGATCACGTGCTCTCTGTTACCAATTAATCATTCGGTCTCGACTTCTGCTTATCTGTCCGATGAATCAATTGAGTTCAGGATGAAAGAGGTCATCAATGAGTTGGAGGGGTTTGTCAACCAAAACAATTCTCTTAATTTGGCGGAGAATGTTGGAAGAAAACAGTGGCAAAGACAAGAAACAACTTCTCTCGTTGAATCTAATGTATATGGGAGAAATAACGACAAAGAAAGGATAATCGAATTGTTGTTGTCTGACAATGCAACTGGGAATGAGATTTGCGTGATCCCCATTGTAGGCATCGGTGGGATGGGCAAGACAACACTTGCTCAACTCATATACAATGATGCTAGAGTAAATGGGAATTTTCATATGAAATCATGGGTTTGCGTGTCTGATGCATTTGATATCTGCAAGATAACAAAGAAAATTGTTGATGATGTAACTGCATCAAACAATGATTTCAACAACCTTGATCAACTTCAAATCAAGTTGAAAGCGAGTCTCGCAGGGAAGAAAATTTTAATCGTCTTAGACGATGTTTGGAATCACAACTACAATGATTGGGACTTCTTAAGAAGACCTTTCAGTGGTGGAGCACAAGAAAGTAGGATCATTGTAACGACGCGCATTGATGAGGTTGCATCAGCAATGGGCACTGTTCCTAGTCATCACTTAGAGCAATTGTCGTTTGAAGATTGTTGGTCATTATTTTCAAAGCATGCATTTGGGAGCAGAGACTTTATGGATCATTCAGACCAAGAGAGCATTGGCAAACAAATTGTGGAGAAGTGCAAAGGCTTGCCTTTAGCGGTAAAATCACTTGGAGGTCTCTTGCGGTCTAAACAGGATATTGAGGACTGGAAAAATATATTAAAAAGTGAGATATGGGATTTGGTGAGCGAAATTTCTCCGGCTCTACGATTGAGCTATCATTATCTCCCTTCACATTTAAAGCGATGCTTCGCACATTGTTCGAAATTTCCTAAAGATTACATATTTGAAAAGCGAAAGTTAGTCCAATTATGGATAGCCGAAGATCTTGTGCATCAGCCCAAAAGCAATAAACTAATGGAAGATGAAGGTAACTATTACTTTTGTGAACTATTATCAAGGTCTTTCTTTCAAAGATTGAGTGGCATCAATTCCTGTTTTGTAATGCATGATCTAATCCATGATTTGGCTCAACATATCTCTGGAAAGTTTTGTTTTAGGCTAGATGATGACAAGCCACTCGATCGTATCTGTGAAAAAGTTCTTCATTTCTCATATGTTCAAGGCGAATATGATGCATTTGAGAAATTCAAGGTTGTTAATGAGGTGCAGTATTTGCAAACTTTCATATCATTTCCACGAGGTTAGGTGTCTTTCTTGGGCAATAAGGTATTACATGATATGTTACCAAACCTGAGATGCTTAAGGGTGTTATCTTTGTCTAATTATCAGATTTTTGAATTGCCTCAATCCATTGAAAAATTGATACACTTACGCCATTTGGATCTCTCTAGGACAAGAATCAAACGCTTGCCTGATTCGGTTACAACCTTGTATAATTTGCAGACATTAGATTTGGCAAGTTGTGAAGGTCTCATTGAGTTACCCGTGAATATCGGGAAACTAATGAACTTGCGCCATCTTGATGTTAGAAGAACTGCACTAACTGAAATGCCAATGCAAATCAGCAAACTGAAAAATCTCCAGCAATTAACAAATTTTGTAGTTGGCAAAAATAGCGGGTCAAGGATTAATGCGTTGAAGGAACTTTGTCAACTTCGGGGGAATCTTTGCATTTCAGGGCTTCAAAATGTAACCGGTGTTCCGGATGCGTCAGAGGCCAATTTGAAGGATAAGAAGCACATTGAAGGGTTAGTGCTAATATGGGGCGGTGATACTAATGATTCAGAAGAGGAAAGAAATGTACTTGATAAGTTACAGCCGCATGCAGGGTTGAAGCTTCTCATCATCGCTGGCTATGGAGGCACAAGATTTCTGGATTGGTTAGGGGGATCTGATTCGTTTCCTCACTTGGTGTCCTTAAGTCTTATAAGTTGTTTAAATTGCTATTCCTTGTCGTCGATTGGGCAGCTACCCCGTCTAAAGTATCTAACAATTAAAGGGATGGAAGCAATAACAGAGGTGGGTCAGGAGTTCTATGGTGATACTTCTCTAATCAAACCATTTCAATCTCTGGAGACACTAAGGTTTGAAGAAATGCCAGAGTGGAAAAAATGGCATGCATTAAGGGGTGGAGAGTTCTCTTGCCTTTTAGAGATTTCTTTGGTGGACTGTCCCGAGCTGACTGATGAATTACCCAACCACGTCCCTTCTCTAAGGAAAATTGAAATTTCTGGTTGCCAACAGCTTGGGTCAAATCAGGTGAAGCAGCTGCTGCAACACCTTCCTCCTCTTGAAGTATTGATGATTTTGGGTATGTTAAACTTGACAGAATTGCCGATGGAACTACAAGGCCTGCGTTCTCTTCAGGAATTGACAATTTCAAAATTGCCAAACTTGAAGGAATTGCCACGGGAATTATGCAGATTAATAAAACTTGAAAGTTTGGAGATTGAGGAATGTCAGAGCCTTGTGTCATTTCCGAATATGGGATTGCTGCCGATGCTTAAGAAACTGAGGATTGACGACTGTAGTGGTCTACAGTCCCTACCACTACCACTACCAGAGGGGATGAGCGTGATGCCATTTGGTGGTCTACTTCCTCTTAGATTGAAAACACACAACATCTGGAATTGTAGGAGTTTATCAAAGCTTCCCCTGTCAGAGGAGACTGAGCATTACCACACATCCATTGAAGATTTGAGCATACGCCACTGTTATCTTCCCAAATCTCTGTCGTTAGGTTTTTTTCCAAAGCTTCGCTCTCTGGAGATAACAGGGTGTGTAAATTTTGAAACACTTTCAATTCCAGATGACGAGCTTCAAAATCTGATGGGCATTGAGATAATGTTTTGCCCTGAAATGGTATCCTTTCCCCATGGAGATGGAGGATTATTGCGGGCTCCCAATCTGACAAAATTGATCATAATTGCTTGCAATAATTTAAAGTCGCTGCCGCAACAAATGCACACCCTCCTCCCATCTCTTCAATATTTGAATATAGGAGAATGTCCAGAAATTGAATCATTTCCAGACGGAGGTTTGCCATCCAACTTAAGTTTTTTTAACGTCTTTAAGTGTGAGAAACTGGTGAAGGCCCGGATGGGGTGGGGTTTGCAAACACTCCATCTTGATTATTCTGCATCAGCGGTATATATGATGAAGAAGTGTTGGAGTCATTTCCAGAGGAGTGGCTATTGCCTACCACTATTTCCCATCTTAATATTGCAGATCTTCCAAATCTGAAATCACTGAACCACAAGGGCATTCAACACCTCACCTCTCTTAAAAATCTGGGCATCCAGAGATGCCCTAAGCTCCAGTCCTTGCCAGAAATGGTACTGCCCAACTCCCTCTCTTCCCTGAGACTAAAAGATTGCCCATTGCTGAAACCACACTGCCAAAGGAAGAAAGGGGAAGATTGGCCCAACATCTCCCGAATCCCACGCATAGAGCTCGATGATGAAGCCATCATAAACTTGGAGTGAGGGAAAAACAAGTGTAGATTCATTATGTATATATACTGGACCAGAGATTTAATTGGAAGGGCAGAAACAGAAAGCCAAAAGGCTACTGGTTCAGAGAAAACAAAAGGTTAGTTTCTGTGTGGATTTATATATATATATACACATGTATTGATTCCTGTATTGTTGAGCCTTTCTTTTGCTTTTACATGTAGGTGTACTGTATGGAACCAGCTCAAAGTGCCTTTCTTAATGGAGGAATGCCTGGTGAGTGGTGAGTCACATTTTCTTTTTCGCTGCTGTTTAAAAATATGGAAAGGGAAAAGAGAATTGACAGTAATTATTCTTTGCTCTTCGTTCGTAATATATATTTTGAGGTAAATTTACAAAACAGAACAGTTGAAGCAGGTGAAAAATCTTTTTAGGAGTGCAATTTCAAGGATGTAGTGAAAGACAGATAGCATGTGGATTGACTGAGGATATGGCCTTAAATAGTAGCTCACCCCAAGTAATGGGGGATGGCTTGGTGGTGGCTGTTGCGACACAAAGTGTATCCTTTTTTCTTTTTTTCCATGTAAGTTGTAACGTTCAGAAATTAAAATTGATGTGCATTTTTAACCTGTTCAGAAGCACTAAATGAATAGCAAGGCAATCTATTTTGTTAATGCAAAATCTATCTTCTTTTTGACACTAAGCATATCCTTTTTATCCAAATCATGTTCAGAAATGGTTTGAATCTTTTCTGCTTGCTAAACTCAGATGATGGTATGCGTATTCCTCTGACTGCCACACAAAGCTAAAGAACTTGCTAAATTCGATGATTTCAATCCAGAAGATGGGATGATTCTTGTGAATGGTACATCTGTAGGAATGAAACTAAAATTTGATGTGACACCTGTATCTAAGGTTTGGTTCCCTCTCTTTTTCCCATTTAAGATACTATTTTATCATTCAAATGCTGCTAGGATTTGCAGAATGTGTTACTTCTCAATTTGTTAATTGAACATCTCATGAAAAATGAATTGCTCCATTTGTGTAACATGCATTATACTTCTTAGGTAACTCTTGGGGTGGAGCATTATTGGAAAAGGAAGCCATTATTGCAAATGGTATTTAGCAGGAAAAAAAAGTTCTTCCATTTAATCCTAAAATAAATTACGTATCATCAGCAGTGAAAATGACTTTCAAATTTTTTTATGGCTTTATTGATGATGATTTTGTTTTTTAAAATACTATGTAGAAGACATTGGAACTTCCAATTCACATAATCAGAGAAAACATGCCCTTAGTATTCTGGAGTACGGTAAACTGTATAGATCAGGTTACAATGAGGAATCACTATGCGATATGCAAACATGAACATGACATCAAATTTGGAGGCATAGAAAAATTACTTCATTTGCAGTCCTTTCATCATTTTTTCCATTGAACCATGATGTATCAAATTGCTAGTTGTTGTTACCCATCATTGATAATAAAATTTTCTCCTCTTACCATAAAAAATTCTCTCCGAGAGAAGAAAATTTCACTTCTTATTAACAAATCTCAATTCAATCTTGGTACTTACCTGTGTAATACAAATCAGTTGAATTCTTTAAAACAATTAGGAATAAACTGCCTAAAATACCAATAAATCCAGTACTGCAAATGAGGATGTCATTTACATATTTTTCTCCTTCTGTCCCACCTTTAAGGTCCTGCCAAAAATTAAAAAAAAAAAAAAAAAAAAAATAGAAGAAAAAGGAAAACTAGAATAATTCAACTCCTTTTTGCAAGTAGTTTAGTGGATGTCTATACTGATTGTTCATATTAGAATGTAAAATGGATTGTTGTAGTGGCAATCGCGAATATGCCTAGTTCAAATATGTGTTCTTGTGCAGTTATGGAAAATTTTCTTGAAATTTTTGGCAGGATTGCTGATTGCCAATGTGTTGTGTTTACCCATAGTGTCTCAGAGATTTACCTTTTACATGATGCTTAACTCAAATTCGCAACCAAAATTTACTGACTACCTGTGACATTGAATGCTAATTGTTTTTTATAGATGAAATTCACCACTTTCATCTTGCTTTTTGACAGGAAGCTTTGAGTCATTTTACTCAGTGTTTGATGCCATCTATACACCAAAATGAACCAGACTCTTGCAAGAAGCACTAGAATCAGGAGCCAACGTTGATGTTGGGACAAAGATGTTCAATAATCAAGCATTTGTACATTTTGAAAGGTTCACTGGCTTGCCCGGTAAGATGAAGTCAACAAGCTGCTTAATCTAATAGTTCTTTAATTTTCGTACTTTAGAGTCTTTGTTCTTCTCCTTTCTCATGATCATTGCTTCAATTTCCTACTGCAGCACCAATAGCACTAATTAAGAGAACTCTGACAAGAAGCACATAAGAAGGAACTGCTTGGTTGAAGTCTCTTTGCAGCTGGTTGGATTTGTATCGATTACAGCTAATTCATTTCAATTTATGAGTTTCGTTATTTAGATGTTTTTCTGTTGTACACTGAATTTTGACATCATTGATGGATGAACCTAAAGACAAATCCTTTATTTCGACATCCTAGAGTATGGCCACGGGAAAGCCACGAATACAGTTGTTTTATGCATTTCTGCATTTTCTGGGATAACATTTTTGAGTAAAGATTCTATTTCAGGTGGCAGATTCATCTTTTATTCTTTAAGAAAAATGGTTTGGCAAATACCTCCTTTTGTACTCCTCTTGTTATGCTATCAGACTCTCTCTCTTATACTCACTTTTGGTCTAATTCTATTTACTGTGTGTGTATGGCTATCCTTTGGTGTTTATCAAGTTAATGGAAGTTGGTTTGATTCACTTGATCAATTGTTTGGTACTAGCAATGTATAAACACCAAAGGATAGCCAAAAAAAAAAAAATGGGTTGAATGTCGGAGAAAGAAATGACATCTATTTGGAGCATGCGAACCCAATCTCAACATTCTTAGAATTTGCGAACCCAATCTCAACATTCTTAGAATTCATCTTTACTAAGACTATAAACAATTGTAGTAAGAGTATTCTATTTTCTTCTTGAAATCAAATTTTCATATCTGATATGTTAATTACCATTTATTCTAAAAATTTAAGTTCGAGAACGTTTATATTTAAATCCTTCAACACGTCTACCATCTAAAAACTTAGTTAAACCCTTCAACACATCTACCATCTAAAAACTTAGTTCTTAGAGAGATATTACTTTAATGTTTAAATTCTTCAACATGATATACAAAATCTTATCATAAGGGCCTGATGGCATTCATGGAATACATTGGGACTAGACTTGCCAAACATTGTCGGACAAGCATAGGCCAAAGCCCAAAAACCAAAAGATGACCATACAAGGGACCAGAAATATATGATTATAGTAACTTGACCCAACCCAATATTAACCCCTAGCAGCCAGCTCAATACCCTTTTCCAATCAAGGGCCAAAGCCCAACATAAAGTAACCGTTACTAAAATAACGGCACTCTGCAATATAAGATTTAAACCCTGGTAATGGATAGGGCTGCAAGTTGGCCTGGCCCAACCTAGCCCAGACCCAACCCAACCTCAACCCGAATTGGGTTGGGTTAGGCCAGCCCCGAATTGTATCTAACATGGGTTATGGTAAAACCCAGTTCGAATATTTTCGGGTCGGTCTGGACGGGCTCACGGGTTGAGTATTTTAAAATAATAATTTTTTTTTTTCGAAAATATATATATATTATATAGATATATATATTATATATATATTTGATTATATTATTATTAAAAAACAACAAAATTTTAGGGCAAATCATTTCAGCCTCCACAATCGCATGTCTCATTCTCAACTCTCTCTCTCTCTCTCTGCAACTGCAAACTACAAAATCTACAAGAATCAGAAGTTCAAAACCCATATATTTTCAGATCTCAATATTAAATTTATTTATTTATTTTAAAACCCAGATGTGGTTCCTCCAAATCATCACCACCACTTGCCAGAATCTGATGCCAACTGCAGAGCTCTTCCTCCGCCGCCACCCGAAGAAGAAACCTTCAAAGAAATGCTCTCTGAGACACCCATTCCGAAACCACCCATTTCTACATAGATCGAACCCACCAACAACAAGCTGCCTAAAGTCGATGAAGCCAAGATCCAACCAATAGCTGTGATTAAACTAACAGATGATATCATCTCTGAGGTTTCTGAGGTTTCAGACTTGTACAGTTTCAGCGAGAGTTTCTCGACGATGACGGTGACCGATAAAGAAGATGACGACGGAGAAGTGAACCAGAGAGTCGAGAGGTCCCTGCGAAGGTCTCAAAGAGACGGCCGTCCTCTGGCGAAATCGCCGGCGCGAGGGAGAGGAAACCCAGATCTCTAGCGAGGAGGCAGGCGCCATAACCGGAAAGAAACAACATCGCCGAATGAGTCCCTTTTTCATGTTGGGGACGGCGGTAGAGAGAGAGAGAAGAGAGATGAGAGAGAAAGGAGAAAAAAAAAATTTTAATTTTGGGTTTTGGGTTGGGTTCGGATTGAGCTCGAGCCTAACCCGAATATGTTTGCGTTTTGACAAAACCCAACCCGAACATGAACCCGATTTATGAATTGTATGTCCAGATTTCAAATTTTTTGGGTTAAGGTTGGGCTGGGCTGGGTTACCTGATAGGCGCCGAATATTGCATATTCAAGCACCCTTATTTACAGTATTTAAGTCCATTATTTTATCGTATTGCATATTCTAGCTTCATTTGCATGCTTTTGTTTATTTTCAGGTTGGTTCCCCAAAGAGAGTTAAAAGAAATGCTTTGACGAGTTCTTAAAGAATCAAAGCACGCCGTTGCCAAGGACCTTCATTTTGGCCAAGATTAATGATCCATGGGACTCATGACGCTCTATGCAAAAAGTTCTAGGAAGAATTGCCGCATCTTCAGGCCGAGCCAAATCATTTCAGGTTGCAAGTAGCAAATTGGTGCAAGGCTGTAACAGCGCGGGCGCCGGTTCATTTTCGTCAGACTTTGGCCTCCAATTCGGACCCTTTTTATGTGCCAATTTGGTCTTTAGTAAAACAAAAAATATGAAGGGTTATAAGTCAGCTTTCCATAGACATGAAGTTTGCCTCATTTGGAGCTCGGAGCAAAGAGTTATGTCATTTTTACCAAAGGTGCGCAGAACAGCCTGGCAGCAGTGAAGTTTGACTTTGCTCTTCATTTTAGACCTACCAAACTTGAGAACTGGACTTCCATTAAAACATGGCGTATTTAGAGCTTTGAATTAGCTTTCCAAATCTTCAAACGGTTCGTCATTTAGAGTTCGGAGCAGAAAGTTATAGCTGTTTTACCAAAGTAGTGCAAAGCAGGTCAAGAGAAAGGAGCATTCTGCCCAAACTTCGAGCGCTCGAAGTGCTTATTTAGAGCGCTTGAACTTTGAGCAGAATGCTCTCCGGGATCCATCACTTCAGCCCACTTGCACTTTGATTCCCTCATTTCTGATTTCCATCTTTATGGGTTGGTTGGAGATGTCTTTTGGTGGGGAGTTGAGCCTTGTTTGGTGGGGTTTTGGTAAGATAATGTCTACAAGAAGGTGAGGGGAACCACATATCAAAAATGATATCTCATCTTGCAAGATTTCTAGAGAGAGAAAGAAGAGTAGAAGATAGAATTCTTGAAGCTACAACAAAGGAGCTCGAAAATGGGGATGGAGACCAAGCTTCTTCCTTCTTCTAAGGCTCCCATGGGTAACTAAACCTCCATCTAGGGAGGTGATGAGGCCCCTTCCTTGTAAGCATGTTCTAATTTAGGCTATATTTTGGGGATTACAATGTATATTCTATGGTCTTTTCATAACCAAGAGCACTTCATTTGTTGTAATGAATGTTGATACATGTATGGATGATTTCTGTAAGTTGATTATCTTGTTTTAGATGATGTCTTATATTAATCATATTGCTTGAGTTTTCACGGTGAGAATGGAGACAAGGTTATGAAATGGTTTAATGGCATGTTGATAAGTACTTTGATAGATCATTGCTTAGGTGAAGCCTTTGATGGTTTGTGCTTATTTCTTACCTTCATGTGCTTCATCATTTTATTTAGGGCTTGATAATTTTTCATTCAAGTAAATGTGGTTAAGCTACACCTTAGTTAGGTAGTCTAAACATGTTCACCTTTGATGGATCATGCTTGCTTGAGATTTAATGTACATCTTGTTGATTATATGTTAACTATGTGTTGCTATATATTTCTTGACCATCATATATTGTTTTTCCCCCAATTTTGCTCTAATCTAGCATGTGTATAGGGATAGCGGCGGATTCACTTCCCTAGTTCTCTTTACTTGTATTTCATCTCCTTCAAACTCTTGCAAACTTTTATTTTATGCACCTTAATTTCAAAGCTTAAGTGACAACCAACAAATCCTCTATGAACACCCCGTATCATTCTAAAAAGACTCTAGACACTTAGATTGCCATAGATTAGCGCAGTCCCAGTGGTTCGACTTACCCGACCAATAGCACTATTTTACAATGATTCGTGCTATTGCGAAGGTTGATTTATTATAGATCGAATTCTCAACCGATTAATTTTTGGCGCCTTTGCCGGGAACTGCAAACGGTTTAACAACCGAAGTTTTAGGGTTAATTTTAGTGTGATTTTTAATATCATGAATTGTGAATATTTCTTTTTTAGTTTGACCACCATATGTTGTAAGTGAGATTCTAGGGACTCGAAGCTCGCCGAGGGAAAGCTAGCTAATTTGTAAGTCTAGAGGACCCCAGGTAAGTCTCTTGACCTTCTAGTTTCGTCATTGTAATATATTGTCCATGTGTTAAACTTAATGATAATTTAGTTTTAAAGCCCTGGTTGAGGCTTTTATCTTGTTTAAATTTCGTGTACAAGCATCGGTCCTTGTCGTGGCCATTTAAATTCTGTCTTGATAATTGAGGAGAATGGGAACATCATATGTGGAGTTGTGAATGATGAATAGTAGCATTGATAGCATTATGTACTGTTGATGTTTGGCCGTAGATCGCTCTCCCTACCAACTCTTGACTCGCCAGTTGACATAAATTCACTTAAAAGAACTCTTAGACGAAACCTTAGGGAATCTTCTAGCGAAAGAGAACTTGAAACTGAATTTAACACAATGGCTGAAAATGTAGGAGATGTCAGAAATGAGGGAATTAATAATGATAGGGCCGAAATTCCAAATGTAGAGCCAATGACTCTCAGGGACCATTTCATCCCTACTACATATGCTTCACCTTCATGCATAGTGATGCCAAACATCGATGCGGCTCAATATGAGATCAAATCAAGTACTATTCAAATGCTTCCATCTTTCCATGGCCTTGATAATGAAGATCCGTATAAGCATCTTGATGAATTCCTTGAAATCTGTTCGACTATCCGGTTGAGAGGTTTTCCTGAGAATGCACTCCATCTGCATCTTTTCTCATTTTCTTTAAAAGATAGGGCAAAGTATTGGTTAAACTCACTCACTCCAAATTCCATCACTTCTTGGGCTCAATTACAGCAAGAATTCCTTAAGAAGTATTATCCGGTGAGTAAAACCAACCAAATGAGGCGTTCCATTCTTAGCTTTTCTCAAACGGATGGAGAACAACTCTACGAGATTTGGGAAAGGCTACATGACCTTCCTAGAAAATGTCCGCATCATTTGATTCCAAAATGGCAATTAGTGCAAGCTTTCTATGCTGGCTTGACCGAACCCCATAGATTCATGGTTGACTCTTCTTGTGGTGGGATGTTCATGTCCAAATA